TAGTGGTGTGACTACTGCAGCCAGGTTTAAAGCAGGTGGAAAGGGGTGCAGGTAAAAAAGCACCAAAGGGATACATCAGGTGTGTATACTCTGAACCCTACCCTCTGTCTTTCCCTCCTCAGCACCTTCACCCAGGCTGTGATGGTTGCAGAAGGTGGAGCCCAGCTGCAGGAGGAAGGACTGTGTGGGTAAGAGCAGTGTGTGGGAGAGGGGGCGTTTACATGCACTGCCTTCAGCCCCCCCCCCCGGCACTTTAAACTAGACCAGGGGTCCTCAAACCTTTTCAGCAGGGGGCCAGTTGAAAGGTGCTGGCGGTGGGCACTGGCTGGCGAGGCAGTGCCAGCGGCGGGTGCGGGCAGCCTGCGTGGCTGAAGCTCTCCGGGCAATTCACAACAACTAAAGCAAGAAAAATAGAAATGATTAAATAAGGATCATGTATTTTAAAACACTGTTAAAGCATCAGAAAGATAGCATAATCATTAACAGACTTGATATATAGGATAGTTACTCAATTGTTATTATGAAACAATGAAATTAGCCTCTCCTTTGTTATTATAACTTTTGTTTTTGCATTATTAATTGTATTTATATCCCCCATTCTTCCACAACAGCCCTGTGAGATAGTTGAGGATGAGTGATGGTGACTGCCCCAAAGTTACCCAGTTAACTTCTTGGTGGCTTAATCTGAATCTTGCCATTCCTAACCTGACACAGTAATCCAGCAGTATTTTGTCATTACACTTATATCCTATCTTTCCTCAAAGAGGTGGTGGCTTACCTGATCCACCTTCTCATCATTTTCCCTCAAAACAGCCCTGTGAGGTAGATTAGAATGATAGTCTGCACAAAATTGCCTGGTGATTATAGAAACAGAGCGAGTCGGAAGGAATCTCCCGGGCCATCTAGTCTGACCCCCAGCTCCACTCATGACATGCCTACCATGTACCAGCTTCATGGGAGCAGGGGGACTAGAGTCCCAGCCCCTACAGTCCTAATTCAGCAACTAGAGTTTATGGAAATTGTAAGCAACCGGATGACCTCCAAAAGCGTTTGATCTAAATTCCAATAAATTCAGCTGACATGGCTGATGACCAGGGATTACGGGAGTTTTAGTCCAAAACATCTCTGTGGTAGGCACCAGGTTGCTTACCCCTGTGTGCACTTTGACCACTTTAAATGTTAGGTAAAAATTCTATGAATTTTATTAATTTCATAGCAATCTTTTTTTTACTGTTATCCTTGAGAAACAAGTGTAGCCTATAGCTGTCACCTTTTAATTTTTTTTAATGAAAATCAACTCTTTAAGAACCAGTGTTTAAAGTTTTAAGGCTTTGCTCTGTTGGTAGCAGGTGCCCCTGGCATCATGACTTCATGGCACAGTATGACAGTGGGTGGGTGATTGGCTGGCTGGCCAGTCAGTCAGTTGACTGGCATGCTGTCCTCTTGACTCCCGACATTGCCACATGGCTCTGCCCTTCAGCCACAGCACTAGACTCTTTGGGAGACTACAGTGGGCTGCAGCCCAGTTAGCCCTCACTTAACATGCTGTTTATTGTGCCGTAAAACCAGGCTTTTAACAACTTGTCTGTGTTTATAGCTTACAAGATTGCTGTCTTTTCTTTCTTCTGCAAGTGGAAAGAATAACACAGCTGAGCTAGTTAAGAAAAGTGTTGTTGAAGGCCTGTTGAGAATATGATGACATGGTAGCTAGGCAAAGCAAATTACAGCAGTGACCAAATGTTCCCATGGATGGAACGGGGGCTGCGTTCAAGAAAGTTTACACTTGAATGCATTTGGATGTGTGGTAGGTGTTGGGGTGATGAGGATAAGTGGGAATCAGAAGTGGAAGGTGGCCGCTCTCAAAGTAGGGGTTCTGTGTTGTAGGCCCAGCACTGACTGTGCCTGATTTTTAAAGTGTCACTAAGCTCACCGGCTTAGCAGCCTTTGCATGAGGCTATTCCGGTTGTGGTCAGGGCTGGAAGGAATGTACGGTGTGGTATTCATTTGGTTGTATGTATGCATTCGGTAATCGTGGTGGTCTTAATACGACTATGATGCTCTGTATTTCAGAACCTGGCTGTGGTCATGCCTATACTCATTAAGGAGGTCATAAAGATGCACTAACAGCAGCTTTTATTAATTTGGTTCATATGCTTGATCAGAAATAAATGTGAGAGATGGACTGGCACAGTGTTATTCAGGGAGTAAAAACTACAAATTTCAAGTGAGGCTGTCTTTGCTATTGTGTGCCTGTGCATACAGCCGTCATGTGGAGAGAAGCAGGGCTCTTTGACCTCCTTTCCATGTTGCAAGAGAGGGGAGCAGAACAGCTGCAATGCTAGGAAACAGTTTTTGGGGCTTCTGAGTGTAATCTCCTTTGCTGGCGGAATAGAACAGATGCATTCAGTTTGGGGAATAGCCCGGTATCTGCTACCTCCACGGTGCTGCAGCCAGGCCGTGCTCTGTCCTCTTTCACATCGGCTCACTTCCTGTGTGGTGACCTGGTGCCTGCAGGCAACCCTGCCTGAAGGCACAAGGGCTGATGCAGCAGCACCCACTGGTGCTAGCTGCCACCACCAGGAATAAAACAAACTCATCAGTGCCCAAGCACTCTTGGTCCCTTGGGAACAACTGTAATAAATAATTATAACTGGCCAAGGATGCCGCTGAATTTCTTTGCGCATGACGTCTCTGCAGCCCACCTGTGTCCTTGGGAAAGTACAGCTAGATTGTAGGCTGCGCTCAGCATGTTGCATGTACTCTGAGTGTTGAAGCAGCATAGTCTGACCCAGAAATGTGGCACACCTCTTGTGAGCCTCCCCCATTTTACCCCTGTAGCACACAGTCTGGGTTTTGGTGAAAACCCCTAAGTCTTTATTAAGGATTCAAGCAAAACACAGAATAGGAAAGGGGATGGTTGGATTCTAGGCACAAAGGAATGCTCAGATTAGAGAAGCATATCGGTTTCAGTGCACAAAGCAATAAGCACTTCACAGCAACAAAGCAGTGGGAAGGACTGATTAGCTACCACAGCCCCACACTAAGTTGCCTGCCGTGCCTCGTGAAGATCCACTGTGTCCGTCATCACTATGCCCTTTCTCAGTGAGGCATCTCTCGGCTGCTCTCCCCTCTTGCCTAGTTGGAGATACCGGATGAACCTCCTGCGCTTTGTCTGCCAACTGTCTAGTAAGGGCTCATTCCCGGCTCTGAGATGGATGCTGGACAATTCTTATTGTTCAGGCACCTGGATAGTTTACTAGTGAATAAATTGGCTAAATGGGGGCCTGCAGATGACCTCAGCCAAGTCATCTACATTGGAAAATGAAAATTTCCATCTCATGGGTATGCATAAGACAGTATGGTCTGGCTAAGTAGGCTGTTCCAAGCCCACCGTGACACCCTGTACCAACTCACCTGTGAAGCTTTCTATGTATGTATGTATGTGTCATTGTCTTTATGTATGTGCAGAGGAAGATTACTTGCTCCAGGTGTCAGCTCTGTGGCTCCTTCCAGAATGCTATCCTATATGACTTCCTGACTTTTTTTTTTTAATTCAAGGAATTCTATGTGGTTTCCCCCTCCCTCCCATTTTATCTTTCCAGCAACCCTGTGGTGTAACTTAGGCTGTAAGGCTATGACTAGCTCAAAGCTACTCAGTAAAAACTACAGCTGAGCAGTGATTTTTACCTGGGCCTCTCCACCCCCAATCCAGTGCTCCTATCACTGCACCACAATGGCATTCTTCCCAGACCTGTTCTGTAATAGATGGGCTTAGCTCTGCATCTATTTTTTTCTTGGTAAGCTTCATGACCCTCCAATTATTTCACATTTTACCAAATATGGGGCACTATTATTTGTAGCATTCATAGGCTGAATCAGAAAGCCTGTGAAAATAGACAGATATGGAAACATCTTAGGACAAATGCATGCAAGGGAGAAGACTAAAGCAGAGTTGCTCAGTTGGGGAAGGTGGGTGTGGGAGACTCTGTTCAAAGACCTTTGGGCCACTTTGACATGTGCACCGGCTGTTCTTGAACTTGTGAATCTTGTTGTATTTCCAGTATTGTTTCCTTCAGGTAGTATCCTCTGCTACTCTAGATGTGGTATGAATGAACAAGCACTCATTTGTCCATGTGTCTGGGCAAACATAACACACATGTGGCTTCCTGCCAAGTCTCTTCCAAATTGACTTTTTTGCCATTTGGCATTTGTCCATAATGGTAAGGGTGCCATACAGTGGTTACCAGTGAATCAGAGCTAGCTTATTTGCACCTGGCCAGTTTTATGCATCAGGATGCCTTTCAGATGTTTTGGATGACAAATCCCAGAATTCCTGATGACTGGCTATGGTGGCTGTGGCTAAGTGAAGTTGAGGTCTGAAACATCTGGAGGACAGCACATTGCCCTGTTTAGTCTTTCTCCTACACATAAGGAAAGGAAGTGGGGCTGTATGTGGTACCTCTCCCCCTCCCTCCCTCCTCCTGCACATGGAAGGCAATTCCTGCAGCAGAGAGCTTCCTCTATCTTGGCGGGTCTCCCTGGGATGATAGAATCCTGATTTCAGGGACAGAGCTAGCATTCGCTCAAGGCAAATGTCTCAAAAGGGTTCAGATTGGCAGCTGAATAAATGAGTGATATGCAGCTATGCGGCTGAAGAGGTACATTGCAGAGCTTTGGGGCCTTTTTACTTTATTAGTTATGTCTTAGGCTTGATCCACAGTTTGCCCCTTCAGCTCAATTGGGACTAAGTAACATTTATTTCCTGTGCTCCCAGTACTGTCTCCCTCAGTGACTGTTTCACCAGATCATCTTAATTATAGAAGACATAGTTCCTGAACTAGCTTGCTTTCTTATTTTTTCCCCATCCCCATTTTCTTTTGTATTGTGTCTATTCGATCATACAGTTGTGTGGAATGATCTCTATGTATGCATGTTTTTAATTTTTGTACAGTCCTTAGAATTTTTAAAAGAAATAATAGCCTGTTTTTGCAAATGTGAAGTTTTGCAGTGCTGGATTCCATCATTCTAGTAGGAGCTGAGCTGTGCGCATACTGGGCAGATGTACACTAAGCACCCTGCAAATAAGCTACGGTGAGTTGTTTGTGGAATAACCTGTGGCAGATCGCTCAGGCTTGCTGTGGCTTGTTCTTCCCCTCCTTCCCCCTTAGTCTTCCAGACAGCTTTGGCACTTCTCTTAGGGGATTTTATTGCAAGATCTGTCTTTGTCTCCCTGTCCCTACTCCAGTCACTGCCCCTTTGCATTTTCCAGTGTCCTATTCCCACCCTGAGTGCCTGAAAAAAATGTAATTTCTTTTTATTTTATTTGCCTGTCTTACAAACACTTGCACACTCATGGCAGACCGATATGTAGAGCCTGTGTTCCAAGTTCCTTTTCTTCTGTCTGTGGTCTTTGCCTCTTCTCTACTCGTGGTATGCTCCGTGGTGCAAAAGCAAATATCAGTAATGTTGTGGGAGCAGGCTTCTGCCTTGTGGTACCCTTCCTCAGCAGAGTCCCGGAGCCACTCAGGCAGGAGACAGCGCCCTCTGCATGCCCAAGCTGCCCTCATAGAAGTGCTGAGCAGTTTAATGCTGCCATGTTGCGCACTGGAAAAACATCACAGCTGTGTTAATTCCTGGGACTTGTTCTGAGGTCATCTGGAGGCAGGAGCTTTGCAATCTGGGCAGAGTGGGAGGCATCTGCCTGCTCTGTTTGGGTCATTTGCCAGCTGCGTGCTTAGCACAACATGCATCCCTTCCATTAATGGTGATGAAATTGATGCAGTTGATGAGATGGGGCAGAAAAATACAAAGCTAAGGAGCAAGGGGCAGGAGACCTTCTATCATAGTGATGTCCATCACTGTTTGCCAGTGTCCTTGTGCTCAGTTCTTTCTTCTAAGCAGGGTGAGTTCTGGGAACAATCCGACTCTTACGCAGCCAGAGACTAGGCATTCAGGTAGATGGTGCCCTAAAAAAATAAGAGTGTGACCCCCCCCCGCCGCCCCCATGCCAGCAGCCTTACATTTGTATGCATTTGCAGGATCTGAACTGCAAATTACTCTCTCCTGGAGGAGAAGCAAGCTTGTGGAAAGCATGCAGAACAAGCAGCGTCATGTAGTGGTTAGAAGGATGCACTGGGGAGCCCCAGGCCCAGATCTTTACTCAGCCACCAAACTGGGTGAGCTTGGCCATTCACTGTCTCCCTGCTTAATCTACACTGCAGGTTGTTGTGGGGATGGAGGGTGGGGGAAACAGGTATGCTGCTCAGAAGTCCTTGGAGGAAAGCAAGATAAGGCCTGCTATGTGGAAAGAGATCGTGAAAAAATGTGGTAGGGAAAACAATGGATAGGGAGGGGAGTTCAAAGCGGAAATTTCAGAACTATTGGAGATAAATGCTCTCCCTGCATTCTTAGATACATGGTGGGAGGAGAGATGTAAAGCTTGGCCTGTCACTGAATAAACATGAAGCTCCCCTCCACCCCCCCCCATCTGCTGCTGTACTGTGGCCTATCAATGTTTCAGCCCCCATTGCTGCCCCTGACGTGAACTGGGACTGGTTGACGCCTCTTTCTGCTTCAAAGCTCTAGTTCAACAGCTATTCCATCACTTCCTGCAGGTTCACAAGAGCTGGTGTGCATTTGTGTTTGGCGCCTGAGATCCAGCCTCACCTTTTGTCTTTCCAACATCCCCAATGCGACCATGGGAACTCGCAGTGAATAGGTGGCCTCCTTCTGACCCCTTTGACCAGCGTCGATTCCCAGGGGGAAGTTGTGGCAGCCCCGCACACCTCAGGAGAAGGTATGGCACATCTTTCTCTAACTATGTGCGAAAGGTTTGCGGGGCAATTCCAGAGGTTTCTTATGCCTGCTTTAAAATGCATACTATATGTGCACTTCTACGGAGATTTTTGCTTCCAGCTCTGGGTGTGAGAGCTGCTAGTGAAGGGGCATCTGTAATTTCCAAAGAAATCCTTATGTAAATATAGATGATAACACTGCATTTGATAAACCAGCTAACAGGTTTGGGTGAAATGCTTTGCATACCGCTACCAGTCTTCCCGTCCTGTAAATCTTCACCAGAAGGCTTTGTGTTGACTGTAAAGAGTCAACCATTATGCTGTTAACACACAGCATGTAAACCATAAGTCATCGCTGGTGAGGAGAGATCGGAAATAGGTGGGGAATAAGCACATGTTCCTTGGATTGTGCGATTACAAGGCATTTGTTGAGATATCGGAACAAATTAATGAGGGACTGCCTGAAGGAACTTAAATCCAGAGCCCTGGTCGTTTTCATTGCTTCCATGAATATCAAATGTACAGGCTGGAAGATGCAGAAGAAAAGATGGTGGGGTGGACACATTTACAAGAAGTCTGGTGCTTATTCTGATAGCCCGGCCATCACTTGAAAGCATCCATAACAAGCCTGTGTTTGACATCCCTCGGATTTCTTTGCTCGCCTTAGAGCAGGGATGGGGAATGCGTGCCTTCCAGATGTATTTGATGTGGCAGCTTCCGTTATTTCTCATTGTTGCCCACGCTCATGGCTGCTGAGGGGAGCTGTACTCTGGCAGCATCTAGGGATTCGTGCATTTTGCTGCCCCTGCTATATAGGGTAGTGAGCAGGCTTTGCTCCTGATGCTTTGGATCTGCCATGTCTGGAAAGATAACGGAGGCTGGAGGAGGTTGGCAGAACTCTATCTCTCCTTTCCAGATAATGGGAGGAACAGTTTTGTTTAGCACGCCACAGAGGCTGATCAAACCAAAATTGTGGCCATAATGACGCCACATAGCTTACAATGTTGTGACTGAGCCTGTGTCCTAATTTTGCTGTATCAACAGTTGGTTCCTTCACAGACACCCCCCCCCCCATGTTGAACCACTGGCCTAGTCCAGCTTTAAAAACGGATGTATTTGTAACTGAGAGCACAGCACAGATAACTGGCTGGCCCCTGGGGTCACCCCTCTATATTTCTCTCCCCACAACTGGCTCCACAGCCCTCCTACCCGGCACCACTGGGGCCGACGTGAGCGACCTCTGCAAACTCTCCTAGCCCAGGATGCGAACTACTTGCACCCGGCTTTTTTCCAGCAGCAGCAGCCACTGCCACAAGTCCCCGTAGATGAGCACTCGGCGTACGTTCTGGCCACCACGCCACCACGAATGCTTCACCCGGCTGCACACCCACCCCACCAGCATCCATTCATGGTGGATCTCCATGAGCAGGTAGGGATTGCAGGTGGGTTGTGGGTGGGAGGCAATGATGACTGAATGGTATAGGAGGTGTATTCAGAATGCCATCAGTTCCAGCTTCTGGAATCTTGCCCTCCCAGTGGATAAATGGCTTGGGAGTTTACCGGGGGCAGGTAAGTTGTGGCTCTCCCTCACTAGAGACATGCAAAAAGCATCTGGACAGTCATCTGAGTGGGATGGTGTAACATGGTGCCCTGCAGTAGCAGGGGGTTGGACCCGATGGCCTTCTGGCCCCTTCCAACTCTACTGTTCTCTGTTTCTAGGTGTAGGCAGCGTGGTTCTACAGGTTCTGGTCCAGCCCTGGGCACCTGTCTTGGTGCTCACTGAAGTGCCATACCTCTTCCATTTAAAAGAAAAATGAAAACATTGTCATATTAGCTAGTGAGATCTTGGTGAAACAGGTTTCTACTGGTGCTGAACATTATGGATTTCAAGGGATTATTTAATGGGTTGGAACTCATATTCAATCCCTGCCTTGTTACTTGGCTTTTTCCATACCTCCCATTGCAGCTTTGTTGTGCTCAGGGGCTCCAAAAGGTTACTTAGCCCTTGCCTGAGGCCTTGAGTTGGCCAAGGAAGCCAAACCAATTCTGGGGAAACACTTCCTCTCCCTGTGTGTTCCTTCCATGAAAGAGGCGGAAGGATGCTTATGTTGGACGTGCCCAATACCGGGCATTCCTACAGAACTTTTGCCGTGGGAGATCTGAATCACTGTTGATGTGGATCCTTCCGAAAACCTTGCATCTGTGGTACAGTCAGCACATCCTGTTACTGGATTGACAGGGCAGCAGTTCAAGCCCCTCCAAGGTCAGAGAGCATCAGCAGGTGTTGAGTGGATGGTCCTGCTAACATATGAACTCACACTGGCTATTTAGTTGGCCGGTTTTACAGCTTGCAGCTCACAAGAGGTCCTGTCGCGCAGTGGTAGAGCACACGCATTCGCATGCGCTAGGCTCCAGGCTCAGGTCTTAGTGTTCCCAATTAAAAGGTTGAGGAAGCTGGAGAGACCAACAGGGCAACAGATGAGGCAGCCTTGTATGTCCCTGCTTGTGAGGACCAGGCTATATTTGTCTGGATTTTTGGGAAAAAAGCCTAAGGAGGCCTTTGCTGCTTTCCCCATTCTGTATGTAGGACCTTCTCCATTGTCTTATGTGAAACCATGTCCCTTGGCATTGATGTAGCTCGAAAGGCAATTCTGCAGCAAGCAGCCCTCTCTGAGATGGTACCCTGTGCTGCAACTCTCAGAGCCTAGCTGGCTGGAGCATGCTGGGAATTGTCTAACACATCCGGAGGGCACCTTCTCAGGGAAGCCTGGGCTATGTTGTTGTTCTACTTTCCTTGACTATAGTCATATGGTTCACAGTACTTTGTTAGCCTGCAGTATTCCTTTTGGGGCCAGGTCAGAGCACTTTATTTACTTTTTGCCCAGGCATTTGGGCAGAGAAAACCTGCCGTGGGCTGGTGGGGATTCAGGGATGGAGGGGGCTGCATTCCAGCCCAAGCCCAGCTTGTTTCGTGCTGGTAGGGAGGAGGGAGCAAGGGCCTTCCCTCCATGTGCCCCCTCACTCCCCCCCCCCTTTTACTTAGCTTGTACTCTCTTCCTCAGGGCAGTCCTGTGCCAGGAAGATGCCTTCCCAGGGAGTGCAGGATTGCAGTTTAAATTGTTTTACTTCAGCTGGTTAAATGGTTTAGATCCTGTTTGTGTTCATTTTGTTTTAATGTTGCATTGGCATTAAACCTTTATGTATACCTCTCCGCAATCCAGTTTTGGATGAAAGTGTGGTTAAAATAAATAACTAAATATTGGAGGTTTTGCAGGCTCAAGGATATTTTGGGCAAGAGCTGAGGAAATTGAGGGAGAGGGGGTGGGGTGAGTAAGCAGGAAATGGCTCAGGGAGCAAGCCCTGCCTGCACTGAGGACCTGGAGCACATGCCCAGGGAGGAGAGGTATCGTGTCATCTGGTCCTACCCCAGCATGTCCTAACCTACGGGAGAGCCTGTGCCTGTCCAGATGATTGAGAGCAGGCTCCTCATTCCCTTGGATGGAGTCTGCATGGGCCTAGTTCATACATGTGTGTGCACCTTTCCACAGGGAATGCTGAAAACCACTAGGAGTGGGGCCAGAGTCAGCCCGAGAGATTCTGGTCAGTTGGGTGTGTGGCCAGGTCCTCCTGGATTATAGACCAAATGGGAAGATCTGCACATAAGCTCTAAATTCTTTAATCCCACAGCTGTCTGGGCTGGAAACATCTTTATAAAACTAAAATATGGGTTCTCAGAAATTGGTGCCAGCCTTCATATTTCATGGCACAGAATATAGGAAGAGCACCTGTCTGAGCTCATAATGCTTCAGATACCCGTGCAGGCCCTGTTCCCATGGCAACATCTCCACGATGGTGGCCGGCATTCTGGAGGACAGCTGTCAGGTCCAAACCATCAGGGATATGGCTCCTGATAGGTTAGGCCTCTGGCTTGTTAAACTGGCATGTCTTTCTGTGGCAGGTAGGAACTACCCACCCTCAGACAGCTTCACGGAGAGCCGCTAAGTGCCAGAGTTCCTCTAACCTTAATTTGTACTTGGATCTCTTTTGCTTTCTTATTAATGAGTAAGTGTGCAATACCCTGATTTGGGTTGGGAGCTAGTGGACCAAGAGGGAGAGATTAGAACTCCCCCCACCCCCCACTATTCGCTTCTGGAAATCCTGCTCATTTACCCTGCCCAAGGGAGTGAGAAAGAAAAGAAAGGCCTCCAGTGATGCAGCTGACGTCTGCTTCCCCTCCTTTCCAAAAATCCCGTGTAAGCTTGCATTATGGTAGAGTGTGTGCTGTGAATACTGTGATGCTTCTGGACTTCAGATATGTGCCTCTGCTGTTATGCATTGTTCCCCAGGGAGCAGGCAGCACATGGCCGCTGTGCTTCAGATGACGGCCTGCACTGGTTTATCCTGGCCTGCCTGAGCAGGCCTGATGAGGGTGCCCTCTTGAGCAGCGTGCAGCAAAAAGCACGCACCTTTTAAAGCAGGGCTGTAATGCCCCAGCTTGGAATCCAACCCCCATAGCCATTGAAACAAAGTGGTGTCGTGTGTTTTAGGGAGCAGTGGGCCGAGCATGCCAGAGTGAGAGATCTTGGGAAAAGCCACAAATCCCAAGAGAGGGACCTAGACATGGAATGAGGAAACCGTTAGGGTTGTGTCAGAAATACCACGTGCACGTTTCACAGTACAAAATTGCTGATGAAATACAGTGTATGGAAGAAGGCCCCAAAATTTAAAAGTTTCTTAAGAGAAGGTTCCACAAACTCCAGGGGCATGGTGGGTTCAGTAGTCACAGTTCACCTCAGGAAATCTTCACTGAAAGCCAATTTGGATGCAGAGCCTCAGCCATTCCTAGGGCATTCAAAGGCTGGTAGCTTCTCAGTGGAGTCTGAAATGAACTGACTGAAGATTCAGTCTGTAATTTCATCGTATTTGAACCTGAAGGCCATGATAGAAAGGATCCTCAAGTGATATCCTCCCAGATTCACATTCAGCATCTAAGTCTTTGGATTTTGGAAGCAGTCTTCGATTTTGAAAATGCCTCTTTGCACTGAAAGTTATCAGAAGCTCTGTGGTTATCCTAAACATGTCCCATTGTATATTTGTATGGCTTTAACAAATTGCCTTTGCATTTTGTCTCTGATTTGTTAGCTCTAGTGTTTCACATTGTCGGTTGGTTGCTTTGCTGGGTTTTGTTATTTTGAGATAACTCTTTTTGCATTCTTGCCTGCCAGAGAGAGGGAACCTGACAGCCCTGCTGGGTCGGTGTGTTCTCTCTAACACCATTGGCTGATGGAGCCCTCTTCAGACCTGAGACTAGCTCATCCCCTTGTGATGTTGCTTAGCGTAAAATCTATGCTGGCAGACTTAACTGGGGGCTATGCCAGGAAAGGGTAAGATAGATTGGTGATGTAGATGCAAGGAGATGTGACTGGAGCCTGCTCTGTACCTCTCTCCCCTCCAGGTGCATCAGGGAGCGGTCCCTCTCTCCTACACGGTGACCACCGTAACAACGCAAGGCTTCCCCATTCACACTGGCCAGCACATCCCTGGTTGCAGCGCACAGCAGCTCCCAGCATGCTCAGTGATGTTCAGCGGACAGCATTACCCACTCTGCTGCCTCCCACCCCCCGTGAGTCCATTGGCATGGGGAGAGCAGCCCAGGGTAAAGTCTTGTTCTCCAACTTGGGGAAGTATGGCCACATTGTTCAGTGGGCTTGCCACCTGATCAGCCGGGTCCGTTTCACTTCCCGTGTTCTTAAGACGCTAGGATCGATTGGTTCCCTGCCGGTCTTAGGATAGGATCACCTGCTGCCAATTGGCACGTGCCCTTTTCTAAAGCCAGACTGGGGTCATCTGCCCTTCAGATAGGACACTCTGGTCCTGGGTACATGGCATGTGGTATTCTCACAAGGACTTTCTCTCTCTCTCTCTCTCTCTCTCTCTCTCTCTCTCTCCCC